AATATAAATGATATTCAACAGTTGACTGTATTTCTACACAATGCATAGATAATCATAAGTACTTCAAATCCGCAAACATGATATTACATCACAACCATATATATGTTCCACTTAAAATTCAAAAACGATTTCACTTACAAACATTAGGCATTCTCCTAAGTTCTTGATAATGATACGGAAAATTATTAATTTAAAAACATAAAGTCAACCAACTCTACCCATAACCGAGAATACAATATGGGTGAGAACGATACCCAATATAAACATTACTACACTAATCATGCACCAAATCATGTCGCGCTTGTACCCGTTATATTCCAGTACAACATGTTTTTCATTATTATCCATTGGCCGTTCTTGAATAAAATTTTTCAAAAGTCCAATTTCATGGACATCCATGTCATTTGCTACTTCTCGTTCAGGTGGTACTACTTACGTTGCATTGTGCATGGCTAATGTTGTTGTCGCATCATTGTACAAATCATAAGATTTGTATAGTGCACCTGAGTATTGACATGTGAATGACACTCAACCCATGACTGATAAATTCCAGTCCGTCATCCAATAAACACAACGTACCATCTTTGGTTCCTGTTCATAGCTTCTTGCACAACAATAAAAAAACTTTTACTGCTACTACTCAATGCTACTTTCATTTATATTACCTAACATTAAATGCAATATTTCATACACCATATGTAAATGACCATCAACACGACCAAAACATGTTTACTACATCACAACAACTATTCGGAGGGGACTTTAATGTAGTGAGGTAATACTTCTGAAATTCAAGGAGGTTGTAGTATATTCAGTCAGGCAATTGGTGATTGTGACTCAACTATACAAGATGCTGGATTAATGGACCTTAGGTTCTTAGGGAGTTTGTTCACCTGCTGCAATAAAACAGATGATCCAAATTGCATGGTGCAGAGTTTTAAATTTCAAAAGTATCTGACCATAACCCTTATCAGACAAAGGCTAAACTGTCATTGCTGCGGAAAAAAACTCAGTTTCCATGTGAGAGAAAATAAGAAAAATGAGGCAAAAACCATTTCCCTCTCTCCTCTCACAGACCTTCTGAGTTGGCCCGCCAAGAAACTAGTAAGCTCAAACCATAAGTTTCTTTGAAAACTTCATCAGCACTGCCTCATATATGGTGTTTGGCAAACATATATAGATAGATAGAGATGTCCACACACACACACACACAGAGAGTAAATATTGGGTGGTACGGTGTGTATAAAGGGCTGTTGATTTTTTGATTACATGTAAAATCATCGGCCGGTGAACAGAGAGGGGCAATCACCCTTAGAAACTCCCTGACTCTCTGTGCTTTGCCTCATTCTTGGTCGATTCTTGGTTTTCTTGGAAAATCCAAGTCAGTGTACTGTCTGAGAGAGATAGAAAAACATACCTTGCCAATGACCTTGGAGCCGTGCTTCGATGGGGACCAACGGATGGGGACCAGTGCAAAAAAGGGAGAGAAGATGATAAAAAAATCTTATAGTTTTGTGACTATTCTGATGGGCAAGGGTGAAATGGTAAAATCGATTTGTAATCCTGTCGGCTGAATGTGAATCCCAAAGTTTTGGTGGGATTCACTTATCCAGATGAGAGGGAATTAATTGGCTCAAAAACTACGGCCGTAATTTTTCAAATACTACGAATATCCGGCCTCCAAAAGCATTGCCAAAGCTGGGATAAATGGGTTCCACAACATATTTATCCAATCCAACATGATGTATCCACCTTTATCCAGCCATCCAAACACCCCCTTAATGTTTTATCTCCTTGGCATTGAGGTTAAGCAGAGTGAAGATGAAATTTTTATTTCTCAAAGTAGTTATGCAAAGGAAGTGCTCAAGAAGTTCAAGATGAATTTTTGCAATCTGGTGAACACATCCGTAGAAATTGGATTGGAATTGAAGAAGAGCATTAATGATGAAATTATTGATCCAACTTACTTTAAAATTTTAGTTGGAGGTCTTCGGTACTTTACTTGCACAAGGCTGGACATTCTTTATAGCGTTGGCTTGGTTAGTAGACACATGAAAACACTGGATCAAACTCATCTTAATGCGGTGAAGATGATTTTATGTTATATTAAAGGTACACTCAATGATGGCTTGTTTTATTCTTGTACTAATGATTTTAGACTTGTTGGATATTTGGATAGTGATTAGGGACGAGACTTGGAAGAAAGGAAAAGTACCTCGGGTTATTATTTTTCGTGGGAGATACGGCTTTTACTTGGTCATCCAAGAAGCAAGCAATTGTTCTTTTGTCTACGTGTGAAGTGGAATATGTGGCTGCAAATTTAACGGTGTGTCATGCTATTTGGTTAAGGAACTTATTGAATTATTTGGGATTTTCTCTAGAAATTTCCACGGAGATCCTTGTTGATAATAGATCGACGATGGCATTGGCAAAGAACCCGGTGTTCCATGAGAGGAGTAAACACATTGATACACGCTATCATTTTATTAGAGAGCATGTGAAGAATGGAGAATTGAAGTTGGAGCATTGCAAGACTCAAAGATCAAATTGTCGACTTTTTTACAAAGCCATTAAAGCATGAAGTGTTTGAAAGATTGAAAATGATGCTAGGCATGAGAACCCAAAGAATTGAGTTTAAGGGAGGATGTTAGTTTTTATAAACTCAATTCTTAAAGGGTAGTTTTTGTATTTTTGGGTTTATGATGTAATATTGAAAAAATCAAGGTGTTAGATGGTATTTGAAGAGATAATCACTAGAACTGTCCAGAATTTTTTTGGGAGGTCTGTTCATGTCTTTGGAGGAGTGTTCATGTACTGCTACATAGAAAAACTGAAGAGACAAAATTTGGTTTAATGGTTGGAGGTTGCTGGCCATTGAATGGGCAGATTCAAGGATTTTTGGCTAGAATAGAGGCATATAAAAGGGGCTGGACTGTTGCTGAAACAGTGGAGTGTCTCTACAAAAAAAAATAGAGAGAAAGAGAGTAAAAAAATCTGTTTTGCGGCCAGAAGTTCTATTCCTTTGTATTTCTTGGATGTTTTTGCTGAAAAATTTAGATAAGTTATCCCTTTATATTTCTTGATATTGTGATCATTCTTAATGAAATATAGAGGTGTTTCTTGAGTAAAATTGGTGTGGATATATAGCAGATTGTTTGTCCTCTGTTTTACTTGATTTTGTTTTATTTTTGTGATCTATTTTGCTTTCAATACCCTGCAACAATCGGGTTGCTCTTACTGGCCCTATTTTTTTTTCCCTAAAAGATAGATTTTTCTTTAATTTCAACATATTTATTATTTTTTTTCTTCAAATTCTACTTGACAGGCTTATNAAAAAAAAAAAACAGTCTGGTGTATAGAATTCCTATTACTATGGGATCTAATTAAGGTTAGATGTAGGGAATTTTACCCAAGCATATATTTCATTCTCTCTACATGTTGTAGAGATGAAATCTTCGTGCACATGACTATTTTTTTTATTGGAGCAATAGAACAAAAACCAAGATTCTTAAACCTTTTGATCATCTTATTGCATTTTACACTTTTTTACAAAAAACTTAAAACAAGAAACATGCAAGGATCTATTGCTAGAAGATGATACCAACAAAAAAGCTACAAGAGTATGGTAGGTCACAAAGATTTTTGAAGATATGCAGGCGCGAATCCATCATGCCACGTGTCGTTATCCCATGGGATTTATTTTTTTGGGTGTGAACAAGTATGCATATCTTTGGCACTGGAAAATTTTGTATGAGCAAAAACAAAATCAATAGAAAATTGGGACTTACATAGATAAAAATGAAGCTTAACAATGATCAATACAAGGGTTATCCTGACTATTGGCTAGTGCAAGTTATGACTGATCTACAATTGCTTCTGTTGATACTGAAGGTGGTAAGTGCCTCCCCACATTTTCTTTTGTTGTTGCAGCATCAGCAGTGGAGAGAGAGAGAGAGAGAGAGGGAGGTTTTTTTTTTTTTTTTTTTTT